GACCACCTACCCAAACATTTCAATGATTTATTGCCTAAAGAGTATGCTACTGGCTCGCTAACTAGTAGAAAATCCGGAACTTTTACCTAGGCTTGTCACCGAAGCTGTGCGCAGAAAGTTATCATGGAAATGTGTAAATGTGGAGATCCGATGTTCCCAATTCCCCACAGCACTGGAATGAGAGGATGTCATGCTACAAACGCAGATGAACGTGATTGTTTGAGGAACGCAACACTCTATCTTAGTGAAGTTTACACCAAAGATAAAGATGGCATTCCCGGTTGCTATTGTCACCAACCATGCAAGTAAGTTCAGTTTATGATTTAGAACGAAAACCATAATGATAGAATAACAAAACTTTCCCCTTTCAAAGCAATATTCTATGCTTTGTATCGCATTTATTGCAATGATTTATTTGAAATTTTAGGGAAACCAACTACGAAGTGACCTATTCCGCAGCAAGATGGCCGTCCGGCTCCGCAAAAGTCATGGATTGCAATCCTGGCGACTTTCTTTGTCTAGAGAAATACCGTAAAAATGCTGCTATGATACAGATATTCTACGAAGAGTTAAATTATGAAACACTGCAGGAAACACCAGCCTACACAGTAAGTGTTCGTAGATGTAGAGTAAATGCCACCACCGTGTTCCAGCTTACAAGCGTGCTTGCTGATCTCGGTGGTTTGACTGGTCTGTGGATCGGTGCTTCTGTTGTCAGTCTCCTTGAAATTTTCTCGCTGATAGTGTTTGCTTCACAAGCTTATGTAAGAAACAGGAAAGGATCAATGTAAGTTCCATTATCGAATGGTAAAATTCTAAAAAGCTATTAGGCAATCGCAATATTTTCTCAATAACAGTCTCCATCTTGCAGAGCACCTCCATCTCTAAATCAGATTAGAAAAGCGTCACGCGCGTCTGTACAAGCACTGCAGAAGGCCAGCCTGAGCACACGATTGTCCGTGCAGGACATTCTGTCTCTGCACTCCAATCACTCGTCAAAATCAAAGCAGTCCATAATAATCGAGGATCTACCGTCTCCGATACAGGTAACTAGATAGAGGCTAACGGATATGCTCAGTGTATTGCCCTTTGCCAACACATTTGTGCTCAAATAAAATGGCCATAGGCAGCAAAACTACAAAATATGCGCTCTGAGGCCATTTTATGCGCCCAAAGGCACTATCTCAAGCAACAAAACTTACAAGGGAATGGTCAAAAATCGAAGAGGCCAATCCAGACA